AAAAAAAAAAAAAAAGAAAAAAAAGAAAAAAAAAGAAAAGAAAAGAAAACGAACATCAAATAATATATAAAATAATCTTTACAGAATTATGTAATGTAAAATTTATGAAATCTTATTATGTATTGTAAAATTTATGAAATCTTATTCAGATAGCTTTAACTAAATCTTTTATTATTGATTATTGTATTGTTTCATAAACAACATATAGTGATTGTAATTTGCTATTCTAGTGAAAAGAAGAATACCAGAACATGGTGCTCAAATGAAGTCCAAACAAATCTTTGTAATTTCAATGAAACCATCCCCTTTTTGGTTGAGTTAAAATTGTTTCTGTTAGAATTTTTGCTGGTTATTCTGTCTCACATGGAGAACTTAAAATATACTTTGAGCCAATGATGGTGAAAGCATACACCTGTGGCTTTTAAAGGAGTGTCTCAATTATCAATATTTTTGGTCTAGTAGTGAATTTTTACCAGGAAGTGTGGTTATAAATTTATTCTGGTTGTTGAATTTTAACTCCATAACCATAACTTTAACTGTAGTATTACTTGCAGTAACTTGTTAGTCATGACGTTTCACCATCTTTCTATGGATCTATGATGTAGTAGTTTGGTAGAAATTACCTTGTTGTCATCCGCTAGTTCTTTTTGGATGTATATATGGTCTCCAATCCGGTTCTTATCCAAAACCAGTATCCTGTTATTTTCATGCAAAAATGCTTACTGTTGCTTGGATTGCTATATAATTTTTCCACCTGGGGTTTAGTTGGCTGATTGATGTGTGCTTAGTTATCCCTTTAACATTTTCTGGCTAATTTGCTTATCTTATTTGTTATATGTATCTTGGAGTAATTTCCACTAACTTGACATGCAGTTCTGCACTTCTTTTGTAGATGGGCCAGTTTAAAGGAGATTCTCCTAATTCTGCATACCTGATAAAGGTAATTTTGACTTTTTCGTTTTCGCAATTTTTCTTTTATATTTCATTATGTTTTACGGGTGGTTCATTTTTGTGTTTTTTTACCAATCTGTCCTTGAATTAACTTTAATATCGACTTCCATATTCAGGTGGAGCTGTTGGCAGCAAAAAATCTTATTGGGGCAAACCTTAATGGCACATCAGATCCTTATGCAATAATCACATGTGGTTCAGAAAAGCGATTCAGGTGATTGCATCTCTATTGGCACCTCTATTATCCTCAAGCTACAACTACTTTTTGAATAATCCTGCCACATTCTTATTTCATTTTGATGTTATATTCCCATTATATGAATTTGAATTTCAGCAACTGAGTACATGTCATGGCTATTTTTAATCTTTGTTACCTGACAAATCTTAAGCCTTACTTAGTTTTTGTAAATCAAAGTATTTATTTTCTCTTGTTGGAAAACTATGACGTGATTGAGTTACCAAGTGGAGCACATTAGGCTAACAAGTGTGTATGTTGAAACAATATATATGCGGATTCAGTTTACAACTTCTAACTGGATAGTGGATGATTGAGTTTTTTGCTTGTTTCTACATAACATCCATATGGCAAAACAATCATTTATACTGTGGTAAGCCCAGGAAGAATAGTAAAGAAAAAAAAAATGCCGGAGAGAACATATTTACTCTATCGAACCAAGAGCTCTTTTAGGTATGATATTTTCTCAAATGGATGGACGGATTCAACTTACAGGTATATGTTTGACTCTGTTGTACTTGTCACCTACTACAGTCACCAAGATAATCAGTTTAGCTATTATTTAGATCACTGTAGTCGCAAGCAGTTCAATGCTTGTGTGAGTGGCTGGCTTTACCAAGGATGTTAGATAGAAGTGGAATATATGTATGATGTTTCTTAGTAGTCTTTTCATTTGTGCTTCTACTTGGTGCTTCCTGATTCTTCGAAGACCTCATCATAAAATTGAGTGCAGAATGTTGTCAAGAGTCGATTAGCTTTTTGCATAAAGGGTACTTTGATATATCTTAAACCTGAAGTTTGGTCACAGATTGAGAATCTAGAGGTTCTTAAGAGAGGATAAGTGCTGGAAATAAGGTGGTGATAAGAGAAACCTGATGAGATATCCATAAAACAATGTACTTTAGAAGAAATGGAAACTCTTAAAAGACAACATGGTGATGAAGGAAAAGTAGAGAAGTAATCAATCTATACTTACTCTTACAAGGTTCAATGTTTCTGTACCCTCACTTGAAAGAGGTAAGTATAATCAAGTTGAACGGAAAGGTTTACTTAAATGGAAAATGACTATCATGGAGAGAAAAAAGAAAAGCGAAAAGAAGAAGAAATGGGAAAGGAAAAAGAAAATAAAAAAAATTGATAGGATGAGAAGACAAGTTGGGGATGTGATTAGGAAAATACTATTTTATTTGTTTGTTTCCTAATTGATTTGTTCTTTCCTCTTTTTTCTTTGTTTGAATATTTGTTTGGCTACATTTTCCGGCCATTTTTCTTTTTTTGCCTCTTTTGGTTCCTTGCCTTTTTCTTCTCACACTGTTGTCATATCTAACTTTTTTTTGAGGTTTATCAATGGAGATTTAACCATAGAAGATGTTATAGACTTATATGCACTGCATATACACTATACAGTGAACAAGTGAGCTTTAGTATAAAATATTTTCGGTTAGTAACATTATATCCGTATATAATACATATATTTATCTTTAGTGTATGCTCAATACACGCACACTTATTACTTCTTAGTTACTGGTCTTTTTCTTTGCCCATTCATATAATTACCCTTTTATAAGTTTGTACTGTGAAGAGATTGGCGAGAACTGTAGATACTTAGTAGAAGCTTTCTGATTTGAAATTTGACATCTGAGAGTTGATACTTAGCAGTAATAATTTCAATTAGATCCCGTGGAATATCTTCAAGTTTACGAGTTGCTTGTTGTTGCATATCCTCCAGTAGTTTTCTGTATACCTTGTATGACTCATGATACAAAATGTTTCTTAAGACTCAAGTTTGCGCGCAGTTCCATGGTTCCTGGTTCAAGAAATCCCATGTGGGGTGAGGAGTTCAACTTTTCTGTTGATGAGCTTCCTGTGGAGGTATTTTATTTTTTCACCCACGTTTGGCTAACACAGTCAAAAGTAAAGAAATAAATTGAATCCTTATGTGAATAAATTGCTTGCTTAGCTTTCAACTGATACCAGATCACTCAAAATAAAGGTTTTTATGTTAAGTTGACAATTCGTATTAAACTGCATTTCTCTTGTATACATTTAGTTGGAGTGCTCCTTATTCCTTTACTCCATTATATAATCATCGATCACTCGATTTACTTTCTAACTTTTTGCTCCTACTTCATATAATCTTTCTTTCTGATGTCCTTACCTTATCCCTTTTTCAGTACGACTTCCTTTATTATTGTGTCTATACGTATCCTGCCTTCAATCACGCGCTTACTAAAAATTAAATAACTTCATCCATTTACTATAAATATATTGCAACTAAAAATACACATTGGCTGTGACAAACCACATTAAACTAAATTCAGTGTGCGATAGAAAGCTTTATCTCCTATTTTCTCTATTGGAGGGCTATCACAATATACCATGTTTTTCAGTCTGTTCAAGAAACAATTGTTCAACTGCAAACTTTCAGTTAAAATCACATGCATGGATTTATAGGATTAGTCATCAGTGTGTCTTCGAAACACGTGAACCACAATTCCATCGTAATTCCTCTATCTTATCTCTTTTAAGAAATTTAGCGGAAAAGTGAAGCACGTGAGCATCACATGTATGTCAGAGATCCTACTGATCAGTCATCCAAATGATTTCTACATCAACCTCATTTTGTTCTTGAAGTACCTACTATTTATAACCTGAGCTTTTTATCATATATGGGTGCTTTCTGGAGTCCTGTTCTCATGTTTTTTATCTTGATGATCATGAGGTTGATACAGTTATTTAGTTCAATTGAGATAGATTGTGTTTTTCATTTTAGTTGAACTTCTTCAATGATGCCTTGTTGTGGACCTTGTGAACCTGATTTTGATGTAGAATAGTGAGCCTCAGAACATTTATGTATAATTTGTGTTGACCCTAAATTTGAGGAGCCCAAAGGACATCCAAACATGCTATGTGGAAAAGAGTTTTTGAGATTATCATAACAATGAACAGTCGGTATAGAATTGATAATTGGAACTTCATCCCTGAATTTGACCAAGAAATATTGTTGACAGGATAGGCAACTAATTAGCGTAAGAAAAACCAACCATCATTGGAGTACTTTGTTTGGTATTTGCATAATGTGATATTTAGTTTAAAATTTTAGCAGATGCTTCTTTTCTTCACTAGGTCTGACTTTGATCTTGTTGTATGGACAGGTTATTGTCACAATATATGATTGGGATATAATATGGAAAAGTGCAGTTCTTGGTTCAGTGACGATTCCGGTTGAAGAAGAAGGTCATACGGGTGCTATATGGCATACACTGGACAGTCCATCTGGGCAGGTCATGCATTGTTACAATGCGTCTTCTTGGTAGTTATAATTTTCTTTCGTTTTCCCTTTTAAATTGGTGGTTGTTGTTTGATGCTGGATCTCTTTTTTGTTTCTTTAGGTCTGCCTTCATATAAAAACCATTAAACTCCAGAGGAACTCTCCCAGGTTCTATTCTTAATAGTTTAAAGTTATTATCCATTTTGTTGTGGTTCTTTTTCGTATTTTCTTATTGATATTGTCATTATTGTTACGGATAACTTTATCATCCTCTCTTTCGCTTCTGTTGTTGACTGTCTAGCTTTGCTTTCTAACTTGAAATATACAATATCATTTACCTAGGTTCAAAGAATATGTGTTCTATTTGAATGGCAAAGATTGCTGATAGAATTATCCCTTGTTTAAGAGTGCAAAGTCACTCTCTGTCTGAATTCTGGATGCTCCTTGTAGGACTATGACTTAAGAATATGCTTTCTGATGCAGGTTTCTGCCGAACTTGCAAACTCTAGTGACTCTTTCTATTTTTCTTTTGTAACTTCTCTTGATGTCAATATTTTTAAACATGTATCAGATCTGTATATTCTGCTAGTTCATGAGTTCAAATTTTGCTTAACATGTTGGCCTAGTAGATCCTCAACTACAGTCCTTTTATTGTTATGATGGCGTGCATCCTTGTTCTTACTAGAAAATTTGTTAGCCTACACTCAGGTTAACTTAAACCAAGTGACAAGCAGTTTTTCCCTTTAATATATTGGCTATAGGTTGCTCTAGCAAGTAGGATGAGCCAGTCTTATTCTATAGGGTTTGAGCGATGCCCTTGATTTTAGAATTTTTCAAGCAAGCTTGTTCGGCCTCAACAATTTCCTTATGCAAGTACTATTATAAGAAAGATTATAATTTGCTGTGTGCAGTCATTTATATTTATATATAGGTTGATCCAGTCAATTTTAAAAAATAAATAAATAAATAATATTTGAGATTATAGTTGTGCTGTTTTTCATAAACAAATCTTAAAAATCTGACTGATTGTTTGTACGCACATCTTTAGTGTTTCCAGTACGTTTTGTATGAGTTCCTTTGATCTACTATATGACAGAGGCTTGAATAACTATGCTGGTGCCAACACTCGAATAAGAACTTTGGATAAACAAGGACCTACAGTTGTTTATCAGAAGCCTGGGCCACTACAGACAATTTTTAATCTTCTCCCAGATGAGGCATAGTTCCCTACTTATTTTACATGATTAAATCTTAAACCTCCTTCAAAATGCCCTTTTTTTATATCTCTCTAGTTAGTATCTTTGTTATTTTTTTACTATTGTAAATTTAGTTGCTGATACTGATGATATTGCTCATCAGGTTGTTGAACATAGCTATTCTTGTGCGCTTGAGAGATCATTCTTGTATCATGGTCGAATGTATGTATCAACATGGCACATCTGCTTCCATTCTAATGTTTTCTCGAAGCAGATGAAGGTTAGTTGATTATTTTTGGGCTTGCGTTTTTCTTGTTATGAGGGCTCAGAACAATTACAGATATCTCCCTGGAATATTTCTAGAAGATTTGATCTTTGACCTTTGTAATCTAGTTCATTGATGATTTGGTATGAATCTTTAATCAGGTATTTCGATTCGATTTACTTGAATCATTTGCTGTGTGTGTGCATATGTGTGTGTGTAATTGTGTATATACCCCTCCATGTAGAGCTTTTCTCAGAGAAACGTGAACTGAACTTTTTCACTTTATCTAAGGCTGGTGACTCGGCTTCTAAGGTGTAAGTTAATCGATCTTCTTAGGCTTTGCTTGTTGATTGTATCTACATTTGCATTTGGCAGGTGATTATCCCTTTCGGAGATATAGATGAGGTATAATGCCCCGTTGTAAACTGTCTATTTATATGGTGGTGTGTAGTCACTGGTAGTATTAATGGTTAAATGTATTTAGTTGGTTTTCTATCCCAGATAAGGAAGAGTCAACATGCATTTATAAATCCAGCTATCACAATAATTCTTCGGATGGGTGCTGGGGGGCATGGTGTGCCTCCTTTGGGAAATCCTGATGGTTGGTAATTGTTATGTTCTTTCAAACTTCCGTGTATGAATTAATTTATTGTCCTCTCTTATATTTGAGAAATATTTATGTATACTTAATTGGCACATCCGGAGGGAAACAACTTCCATGTCTCTCTTTAATTTGCTCCCTTAATCTAAGCAACCATAATTTGCGAACATTTCAGTTCACATTTTTGGTAATATCCAGTCATCATGGAGTACGTAAAATTAGCAGTGAAAGCCTATTAAGCTTCACAGTCTACTTAATCCCAATGTTTTTGTTATGGATTTATTCCTTATTTTCCCATCAATCATAATCAGAAATATGTGAAGAAAATACATTCTAGTTTAATAGTCTCTGGTTTAGTTGTGGTTGTAGTCTTGTAGAGATCATGTTGTATTTGCAAATTTTTGTGAGGCAATACCTGGGATAATTCTTAACATTCTTGCTGCTCGCTATTACACAAAGTAAAGGAATGTGGTTGGGCACTTTAAATCCTGTCAAAGTAAATTTGATATGTGCATAAAAGGAATTTGAGTTGTCCCCTAAAAAACAATGAGCACCCTTCTTAATTGCAAATTGCCTAATAGTGCTGTTTTAAATAATATATGTTTAACTAGAGGAACTTAATTTCACAATTTTTAATGTATTATTCTCCTTTTTCTTTCTTTCCCTTTCAATGTTATTGAAAGTTGATGTCTTATCTATCTTGAATATAATCAAGGTTTTGGATGTGTGGTGGTCTTTATCAACGAGCTTTTTTTCCTCTTTATGTGTTCCTTCATTTTATACCTAACATCCTCACCGTGAGAGATATTAAATCTTTGGGGAGAATAGATTACATTGGCAAAACTAATTGTGTGAAAATAGAAATTTCCTCCAAAACTGGGTAGTTATATGTAAAAAATCGCTCCTCAATTCAACAACCCTATATCACATTTTGGAAAGGTAATAGAACTTTCCAAAACTGCTACTTGCCATGTGGAAAGAACCAACACCCACCACCCCAAAGTAAGAAGAATGTTATATAGATTCATCTAATCCGATTTCTTCACTCGTAGCATGCGTGATCTCCAACTAAAGCATTCAAGATATGCCAAAAATACTAAAAAAATTAAATTCCCCAGTTTCAGTGACTTGATTTTTCCAACAGTTATTGATCTCATGCACAACTGTTGTGAATGTATGTCTTAGAGAGTTATATCTACTTGAAGCACGGAAGCTAAAGCTGTGTATACGATACTATAACCACATTTATCTTTCAGGTAGAGTGAGATACAAATTTGCATCCTTCTGGAATAGAAATCATGCTTTGAGAGGTTTACAACGTGCAGCAAAGAACTATCATGACAGGCTAGAAGCTGAGAAGAAGGTTTGGCTGTGTCTACTTTTAGATCTTTGTTTCCTGTAACTAGCATATCAATTGAGATATTAGCATATCATTTAAGATATTTCTATGTCATCTAGTTGATTTAGTTTTCTTAATTAGGTAGATTATATTTGGATATATGTCCCATTGCTGGATTGATCCCAATTGATTGTATACTGTTTAGTCGACTACCAAAATACTGACATATATCTTTTATTGTGTTTTTGTGTATATGTGGAATATTCCTATTACCCGTATTTTCAAGAAGGTGCCTATTACCCGTATTTTCAAGAAGGTGCCTATTGTATTTAGATGCTAGGCTTAACTAAATAGGAATCAGCAGAACCAATGGTTTTTGTGTATATGTGGAATATGTGGATGGCTTTCTTGTAGATGTTACCCATAAAATTGTGCAAGGATCAAAATTATCTCTTTAACTTTTTATGCATGAGATGTGCATAGAGTCTTTGATTGCAGCGAGAACTTTGATTAGGTACCACTAGCTGTAATGCCGCTCCTTACATAGCAGTATGTAGTGACCACAAGAAGATTGATGTTTATTTATTAATTATATATGTATATATATTTTTATAATTGCTGTTGGAGGTCGAATTTGTTAGCTTCTAGGCATACAATTTCTTTAGTTCAATTATTGATTTGTGTAAGCGCACTCATGTATATTTCGATCTGTTTTCTTTTTGTTCTCAGGAGAAGGAACAGTCTGCATTGCGCGCGCATAGCAGCTCAATTGGAGGCAGTAAAAGGCGACCCAAGATTTCTGAGGAGAATGTGCCCAAGACTGAAAAGTTTCAACCATTTATCAAAGAGGAAGTGCTTTCTGAAATATACAGCGTATGTGATATATATTTATTTTCTACAACCTTCTGGCGTATGGCGACTGGTACACTTTATTCAATTTTTTATCTGTATAATTGATTTGCAGGATATTTTTCCAAGCACTGCGGAGCAATTTTTCAAACTTTTGTTAGATGATGGTTCAACCTTCACAAGTGAATATCGTAGTGTCCGAAAGGATACGAACCTTGTAGTAAGTAAAAATAATACCTGAATTGTTCTTTGCTTTTGTCTAGTATCAGATTTTTTCTGCTTGTTGAAGTGAATCATGCCTCATTGTTTGGTACTTTCTTATTTAAGTGATTCCCATGAAGCAAATTTTGGGCTGTTAGTTTTACTTCACTTGCATGGAGTGTTTGTGAAAATGTTAAATGTATTCAGGTACCAGCAGCTGTGTATTGTTCTCTAGGGAAAACTGGAGGCAATACTACCATCTACTTATTTTATTGCTATAAATTCGTTATTAGTTATGAGTTATCTTAAGTTTTGTCATACAACTTTCAGTTGGGTCAGTGGCATGCCGCTGATGAATACGACGGTCAAGTAAGAGAAATTACATTTAGGTCCTTGTGCAACAGTCCAATGTGCCCCCCGGATACAGCTGTGACTGAGTGGCAACATGCTGTTTTATCAGCTGATAAGAAAACACTGGTGGGACTCAGCTTTATAAAGGGTACAACTGTTCAGTAAATCTTTTGGTTGGGTTATAATGATGTGATTGTACTTTTGCATAATATGTTCAGGTGTTTGAGACTGTACAACAGGCCCATGATGTTCCATTTGGATCATATTTTGAGGCAAGTACTATCGATCATTCATGTTTCTTCCCCATTTGTCCAGCCTCAATACATATGCCTAGTTGGGAGGCCTAATTCTATCTTAAAATATATTATTATTATTATTATTATTATTATTATTATTATTATTATTATTATTATTATTATTATTATTATTTTGTTATATGAAGAAAAATCGTTACTGAATTTAAGAGAGTGTTACCTTTAACAATGATAATAAATCCATGATACATGAATATTATTTTAATCATAATTGTATACATAATGTGTACATTGCTAAAAATATAAGCATTCAACAACGTAAAAATGATTATGGAATTTTAGATTGATAGGAAACAATACATGAAGTAAAATGATTTGAATTTTTTAATTTTCATTATAAGACAATTAAGGGCGGGATGTACTTATAGTATTTTTACTTTTAGGAAAACTGAAAACATAGCTTGTCCTAAAATTCGATTATCATGATGCAAAATGTCTCTTGTTACATCTTATTATTTTCTGATTTTATCTCTTTATACGTGTCTTATGATTTCAGATCCACTGTAGGTGGTCATTTGACTCTAACTCTGAGTCCTCGTGCACCTTGAATATCAAAGCTGGTACATTTCAACTACTTGTGCATCAGTCTCTTTCTTGATTTGACAATTTATCGTAGATAATATTCTATGTCGTAATAAATGATTGACCATGCTGTGATGGGAGGACCTTGACAAAATGAAATCCTTAATCTGCAAAACGTTTACTAGAATTTTGTTGGATAGTTTATATGGATTCTCAAGAAGCTTGTGACATTTGTCCTATTCGCTTTGATATTTACAAAGGGTCTCTGTAAATGGTGCTATTGTCCATCCTCATCTTTCGAATTATTTTAATTAAATCCTTTATGAGCTCGGTGATTTTTTTAATATGCATAAATGGTAGACGTTTTCATATATTCTTCAAAATTATATTATATGATCTTTTGCGATGACAGGTGCACATTTCAAGAAATGGTGCGTGATGCAATCCAAGATCAGATCAGGTGCCATCAACGAGGTACATTATTATTATTATTATTATTATTGATCCATTCACTTTGTATTGCAATGGTAAACTAGCTATAATCAATCTTCTGATGAAACAAACATTTTCAGTACAAGAAAGAGGTGGATATAATGTTAGAGGTGGCTCGTTCGAATGTCCAGTCGAAAGCCTCCACAGGTGAGATCACAAATGCGTCATCATCTCCCACTGTTGAAGAAAATACATGAGAATTTGGTAAAGCAGAGTTAAGCTTTTGGTGTTCAAAAGTGCGTATTGGCGGCCAAAAGTCACTCAGACATTTTCACAGCTTCTTAACATTATTGCGCCCTGTCTGCTTTGAACGAGAGAGACCAAGTGGTGCCCTTTGTGTAATCTATGTGGGATATACAGTTCAGTTATAGCTTATAGGATCAGTAACTTAAATGTTCCGTTTTTAGTGAATAATATAGCATTCTTCTTTTGCTTGTTGTCTTCCTGAAGAAAAGCCAATTTGTAATCAAGTGTCCTTCCCAGCTATAAACGCATAATTAGTCTATTTTGTTCACCAGCAGATTGATCATCTTTTTTTATAAATTTATATATAGTCTTGTTATGTCGCGTATATTTATAATTAAGTTGTTGCCCACATATAACACAAAACTTGTCAGTTAAGCAATTTAACTTGGGAGAATAAAATTTACATTACGACTCTGAAATATCATATTTTATCAATTTGGTTAAATAGCTGTTTTATGATAATTTTTTAAAGTTGTAACATATCTCTATCTCTACCATCTTAAAATACCAATAATTTTGTAAGCTTTAAACTAGACAATATTCCCCCTTCCACATACCATGTCCTATTAATTTTAGGGGAATATCAGGTCCAATTAATTTATATATTCAATTGAAACTCTTAAAAATTTTGCAAAGATTTTTTTAAAGTGAATTACTTTATTGGACATTTTTAAACTTCAATGACTTTGTGGACATTTTAGGATTTTCATGAAATTTTATCAGACTTCAAAATTTTCATAGTATTTCTAGTGCGTTTTGAGCATTCACGCGCTTCTTGATAAACTTTTCAGGTGGTCACTCATCTAATAACTACCCCAAGCCAAGCATGCTAAACTATGTGTTCTTATGAATTGAGGCCAAAAAAGAAGATATACATGTTGATACAACTTCTGAAAATCAAGTTCGTTAAGCTTTCGTAGTTTGCCTCATAACATGACTTGGGGCCTCGGAATCTACCCTTCTCCCCCAAATTTGTGACGTATTCATCGTGCATTCTTACGAACCATCTGTGGGGTCCAGCCACAAAGAAGTGGAGCGGCCACTTTCGGTGGAAAAAGAAAACAAAAGAAAAAAAAAAGAGAAAAAATAATAATAATAAAAAATGAAAAGGTGCAATTCATTTTGGAAAGAGTGAGGAAGGCTTCATCTGTTCACATGTATTTTCGTCCCTATAAATAGAAGGCATTCGGCAGTGCTGAAGACACACCAAGCAAGAGAGAAAAATAACAGGAACAAACTATTCAGTTCCTGGAGTGTTAGATTTTTCAGTGAGTTGTAAAAATAGAGTGTTGAGTAAATCCTGTGAGTGTGGGAAAAATACACTGGGTCGGGTATCATCTCTATTACTCCTTGTTTGTAATATTTGAATAGGAGTGGAGTTTCACTGGGTCACTATATTTTACATTTCTAGTGTAAGGGAGTGTGAAAAGATATTGTAATTATCTTGAAAATATAGTGGAATTGTTCGGAGGTTGTCCCGTGGTTTTTTCCTCTACTTTGGAGGTTTTTCCACGTTAAATCTTGGTGTCATTTTTCTTGCATATTTTATTTATTTAGGATATTCTTAGTATGCTCTGTGGTCGCAGTTTAATCTGATCTTCCACATCAGAAAAGAATTATTCCTATTTTGATTGCAAGAGATTTTTTTTTTTATTCTTGAGTTGCTGGGATTATTATTTTTATTCACCATTTCACATTAGTGTTTTAATTTATACCTTCCGCATTTGCGCATCTGAGCCTAACAAGTGGTATCAGAGCTCAAGTTGGGTTCTGAATCAACCCGTGTAAATTAAATGGAGGAGAACGTGGGTACTATGGTGAAGCTGACAGCAACAAATTACTCCATTTGGAAGCCAAAAATGGAGGACATACTTTTCTACAAAGATCTGTATGATCCTGTAGAAAAGGAAGATAACAAGCCAGATGACGTGAAGGATGACGATTGGAAAAAGTTACACAGGAAGGCTGTCAGTTCAATCAGACAGTGGGTGGATATCAGCATATTCCACCATGTTGCCACAGAGTCAAAAGCCCATACTCTGTGGAACAAAATCGAGCAGATGTATCAGAGGAAGACTGCACAAAATAAAGCTTTCATTATTAGAAAGCTTGTGAATTTAAAATATCGGGATGAAAGATCAGTTGCAGAACATCTGAATGAATTTCAAGACATGGTGAACCAACTTGTTACCATGGAGATGAAACTTGATGAAGAACTACAGGCGCTGTTACTTTTGAGTTCTTTGCCGGATAGCTGGGAGACTCTGGTGGTCTCGTTGAGCAACTCTGCTTCTGAAGGAAAACTGACTTTGACCCAAGTCAAAGACAGTATGTTTAATGAAGAAACAAGAAGAAAGGACTCCGGGGCAAGCAACTCTCAAGCCCTGGTCACAGAAACCAGGGGGAGGAGTAAAAGTAGAGGCCGGAATAACAAATCCAGAGATAAATCACAATCTCAACCCAGAAGAAAAATCAAGTGTTATCACTGCGGTGAAGAAGGGCATATCAAAAGAAACTGCAAAGCCTGGAAGAACAGAGATCGGAGGAACAACAAATCAGAGAACGATGAAAATACCGCAACCCCTGTGATCAATGGGGAAGTGGTGTTGCTCTCTGTTGAAGAAGAAGAGTGCCATGTTGCAGATTCATGTGTTGAATCTGGTAATTGGTCTGTTCCGATTCTGATAGGTCCACCTTTTTCCTGAAAAGTTGGGACATTGTTGGAGTGGATGTGACTGCGGCAATAGAATGGGTCATTGACTCAGCAGCATCATACCATGCAACCTCTCACAAGGAATTCTTTTGTCTATACAAAGAAGGAGACTTTGATAGAGTAAAGATGGGCAACAACAGCATTGCAAATATTGTGGGAGTTGGTGATGTGTGCATTCAAACTGATATTGGGTGCACAATAACACTGAAGGACGTGCGACATGTACCTGACTTACGTCTGAATCTGATCTCTGTGCATGCATTGGAATTAGCAGGCTACACTAACAATTTTGGTAGGGGCACATGGAGGCTTACCAAAGGATCATTGTTAGCTGCTAGAGGTACAGTGAGATCGACACTGTACAGAACTCAAGTGAAGCTGATCAAAGGTGGCCTGAATGCAGTCGAAGATGATGCTTCGCCAAATTTGTGGCACAAAAGACTGGCTCACATTGGTGAAAAAAGAATTGCAAATTTTGGCAAGAAAGTCCCTCAGCCCATTTGCCAAAGATTCAAAACTAAATCCTTGTGATTATTGTCTCTTTGGAAAGCATCATAGAGTGTCTTTCAGCAAAACCTCGAAGCTGAAAGAGAATGTGTTGGAGATGGTGTATTCTGATGTATGTGGACCCATGGAAGAGGAGAGTCTCGGTGGTAGCAAATATTTCGTGACGTTTATTGATGATGCTTCACGAAAATTGTGGGTGTATTTCTTGAGAACGAAGGACGAAGTTTTTCAGTACTTCAAAAGGTTTCACGCTATGGTGGAGAGACAAACTGGTAAACCTTTGAAGTGTCTTCGCTCAGATAATGGAGGAGAATATACTTCCCATGAATTCAAGAATTATTGTGCTGATCATGGAATCAGGCATGAGAAGACTGTACCTGGAACCCCACAGCATAATGGTGTGGCTGAAAGAATCAATAGAACCATTATGGAGAAAGTGAGGTGTATGTTAAGAATGGCTAAGCTACCTAAGCCATTCTGGGGTGAAGCTGTTCTGACGGCGTGCTACCTGATCAACCGATCTCCATCTGTTCCTTTGGGCTTTGATATCCTTGAGAGAGTATGGTCCGGACATGATGTAAAATACTCTCATTTGAAGGTGTTTGGATGCAAAGCTTTTGCTCACGTAAGCAAGGAACAAAGACAAAAACTTGATGGTAGAGCCATTCCTTGTATATTTCTGGGCTATGGAGATGAGGAATTTGGCTATAGGTTATGGGATCCAGAAAAACGGAAAATTGTCAGAAGCAGAGATGTAGTGTTCCATGAGCAAGAAACTATGTCTGATTCTGCTTCACCAGAACTCAGAGAACCAGGTGGTCAGGTGGATCTTTCACCTGTTCAACCTCCTAGAGATGCCACAATAGGGGGAGAGTGTGATGGAGAACTCAGGGTTGATGATGAACCAGCAATTGAAGATGGTGATGGTGATGGTGAAGGTGTCGAGCAAGAAGACCTCGAAGCTCTGCCTCAGCTCAGGAGATCAAATCGAGTGATCCAACCATCTACGAGGTACCCGAGTTCCACATATATTACCATCACGGAAGAAGGGGAGCCAGAAAGCTTTGGAGAAGTACAAACTCATAAGGATAAATCCCAGTGGATGAAAGTTATGCAAGAAGAAATGGATTCACTGGTGAAAAATGAAACTTATGAGCTTGTGAAGCTTCCGGAAGGCAGAAAAGCCTTGAAAAACAAATGGGTGTTCAAGCTTAAGAAAGATGGTGACAAGCTGTTGAAGTACAAGGCTCGCTTAGTCGTGAAAGGATTTGGACAAAAGCGAAGGATAGATTTCGATGAAATCTTCTCACTGGTTGTAAAGATGAGCTCTATTCGAGTAATACTCGGATTGGTAGCTAGCTTGGATCTGGAGCTTGAACAACTAGATGTGAAGACTGCATTTCTTCATGGAGACCTAGATGAAGAAATTTACATGGAGCAAGCAGAAGGATTTGAGAAGACTGGAAAGGAGCACATGGTTTGCAGATTGAAGAAGAGCTTGTGTGGACTGAAACAAGCTCCAAGACAGTGGTACAAGAAATTTGACTCGTTTATGGCGAGCCATGGATATACGAAGACTGATGCAGATCATTGTGTATTCGTTAAGAATTTTTTAGGTGATAAATTCATTATTCTTTTGTTATATGTAGATGATATGTTGATAGTGGGACAGGATATGAAGCTGATTGGTGATCTGAAAAAAGGAATTGTCAAAGTCCTTTGAAATGAAGGATTTGGGCCCTGCGAAACAAATTTTAGGCATGCAGATCATGCGAAACCAAAAATCGAGGAGGTTATGGTTATCGCAAGAACGGTATGTGAATCGGATTCTGGAGAGATTCAACATGAAAACGGCTAAGCCAGTCAATACGCCGTTGGCCAATCACTTCAAACTCAGCAAACAAAGTTGTCCTACGAGTCAAGAAGAAAAAGAAGCTATGGCGAGTGTTCCCTACTCCTCGGCAGTCGGGAGTTTGATGTATGCCATGGTCTGTACTAGATCAGATATCGCTTATGCGGTTGAAATTGTTAGCAGGTATCTTTCCAATCCTGGGAAAGATCATTGGGAAGCTGTGAAGTGGATTTTGAGGTACCTAAAAGGTA